GGGGCTCCAGTGGCCTCTGGAATGCCACGGAGGCGCAGGTTGTTGCGTCGCCCCCTATCCTCCATGTCCTCCATATGGAGTTGCAGGTCAGTAAGGCGGGGATCTGGCCTTTGGGCCGCCGATTCAAGTGCCGCAATCCTCGAGTCCATCGTGGAGCAGGATGCAGAGACCTCCGCCACTGTCGCGGCCAGTCCTCTCACCTCCCGCTTCACTTCTCGTAGGTCCTTTTGCAAGGCAGCCTCAACCCTGGACACCATGGACTCAAAGTCCTGCTTGGTGGGGAGGTATCGTAGCAAGGCCCGGAACCCATCTGGCATGTCATTAGGCAGGTCATCCGTCACCTCTTCGCCGTCGTCATGGGGGTCCAGACCGGGGAGCCCAGGGGAAGCGGATCCAGCCCGGGAGGTATCCGGAGATGGGGAGCCCCGTCGGCGTGTGTTGTGGGACGAGGCCCTCGTGGAAGAGGCCGGCGCCATCTTGGATCTGCCACGCTCCACCGAGCCCGCATTTCTTGGGGAGAAAAACTGCTGCATGGAGGCGTCCGAGACCTGAGTTTTAGATCCCCCGTCCTTCCGACGTTTAGACATGTTGAAATCTGGGGTGTCAGCGGGAGTTAGGTAGAGGTAAGTGTGCCGATGATACGCTGAAGCCGCGGAGCTCTCTGAACGAGCACCTCACGCTGCAACGGTTAGGACACGCCCCCAGGTGGCAATTTATTACACGCCGCCTGGCTTCCGGTACTCGATACTGAAATACCGGTATAAGTGCATCCTTAACATAAATCTTAGGACAATCATTTTTTTCCTCTTTCATTACATATACTGTACTTCTCTGCACACAGAAGATAGAAGAAAGCTAATACTGTCTGAGCCTACCTTAAAGAAGAACTGTTAAAATAGTCAGGGACTACTTAACAACCAGCAACTGTTGAGACAATGAAGGCTTTGGTCAGGAGTATGTAATTACTTTTGTCATGTAGTGTGCAGGGATTAGAAGTATATAATGTACAGATTGCAGTATGTAATGTACAGTCCACATACAGAGTGCATCGGCCATAAGTATGTAACCTACAACAGTAGAGTGTATGTAGCATACATCACATAGTATGGTGGCTATGCATATATAATTGATACTATAAGTTACATAACACTTACTACCTCACTCTGTATGCTGTGTCATAAGTTGCACACTCCTGACTGCGCTCTCAGCATACAGAGTGCAGAGGTCAGGAGTGCCTAAAATACACCACATTAATGACATTTAAGAAAATATGTGTTTTGATTTTTACATTTATCTCCCACATTTTTATAATAATATTTTATATATAGGTTACTCTCCAGCCACTGTACAATGTGTGTGGCTATTGAATCTGAAATAATGCACTCTAACATTTATTTCAGCATGAAAACTTCCTTGCCACAACCTCTTAAACTGTGGCCTAATCAAGCTGCCTACATACTCTCCAGCCACTGTACAAGATTTGTGGCTATTGTATCTAAAATTATACACTCTAATTTTTATCTCAGGCTAAAGACTTCCTTGTCACAGCCTCTTACACTGTGGCCTAATCAACCTGCCTACATACTGTCTAGAAACTGTACAATATCTGTGGCTATTGTCTTTAAAATAATACACTCCAATTTTTATTTCAGGATGAAAACTGACTTGTCTCACGCTCTTACACTTTGGCGTAAAGAAGCGGCTTACATATTTTGCAGCCACTGTACAATATCTGTGGATATTGTCTCTGAAATAATACACTGTGATGTTTATTTGAAGATGAAACCTACCTCGTCCCTTTCTCTTGTATTGTGGCCTAATAGAGCTGTTTCCGTACTGTCTAACCACTGTACAATATTTGTGTACACTGTCTCTCAAACAATACACTCTAATGTTTATTTAAAAATTAAGCCAACCTATATTTCCCTTTTGTATCATGACCTAACCATACTGTCCAGCCACTGAAAAATATTTGTGTCAAAACCTGTCTTATCTCTTTCAATTTGCTAGTTATTCAAGTGCTGACTTATGCATGAGCTGATGCTAGCCCATTTTGTAAGCTCTATATTTGGAATGTGTTGGGAATATGGGGATGGGAGGGGGTTGTGGTATTAAAGTGTTTTTGTGCACTCAGTTTTGACATTTTAATAAATCTTTAAGACAATGCAGTGTGGCACTGTGAAAAAAAGAAGTCCACAAACCATACTGTGAAGTTGCCTAGCCCCACTGGCTAGTTGGTACACATTTCTGAGTTTTAGCTTTTTTTTAAGAACACACTTTCCTATAGCTTTTATGTCTGTTGTGGCCTCTACTTTCATTTTGCCCACTTTTTGCCCTCCGCTTTGTGTGGTTCCATCTGAACAAAGCAGACAAGAGGATGGGGGTGGAGATAGGTCACACCTTTAATTCAGTGATGGGTATAAACAGGCTTTTATTTTTAACAGAGTAGCTAAGAACAGACAGGTAAACATGGGAAAAAGGTGCCTAGACCTGCTGGCCTGACATGTTTATTTGCAATATTTTATATTTACCTGACTGAAAAAATTAAAACTATTTTTTACATATTTTGTTTAGACCTGGACATGATATATAAACAGAATATTTATCAAATACAATATACAGCAAGGCAGGTGCAGAAAAAATTGTTATTATTACCAGTAGAAGTAGTTATGTTGTCTGGTTAGAAAATGTGCCTAATAGGGCTTGTCCGAGCTTCAGAAACTATGCTAAACATGTTACTTGATTATATTTAGAGATCCCAACAGCTCTCTCATTAAAAATTAAACAAACTTTTTTTTGTTCAGACTGAAATTCTTTAAATAGACCTAAGGTAAAAATTTGCAGGTAACAGTATTTTAAATGCTTACTTGCAGCGTTTTCCATTTCATACTTTTTATTATTATTTGAGATATGCCTCTGAACTCGATAGAAAATTTGACTAATTAAGTCCCTAACAGTACCCTCTACCTTCCTTGCATGTGATAGCCTTCTCCCCTTCTGGAAGTATCTAACTATTCCCTAGCCAAGTTCTTCCACTTCTTCCTTCACCTTCTATATACTGTGTGTGTATTGTCAGAATTCCTGTGAGTGATGTGTGTTAATGTTTCTTTGTGTGACATATCAGTATGTATATGTGTGCAGTGTCAGTGTATATGTGTGGTTTTTTTCCCCCACAAGTTTTAATTTTAATCAAAGAGGACCAACAGATTCACACAAATCGCTCACACAGGGAAATGCACAAACAGAAAAATACACACACACACAAATACGCACACAGAGAAATACACCCCCCCACACACACAC